TTCTGAGAGAGTTGTTGAATATAACTCTAATTAAATAATAGTCTATTATTACATTTAAAACTATTAGGGAATTTTTAGGAATTGTCTCTTATTACTAGTGATTTATAGAAGGATTTTTCAAAATTAACAAACTTTTGAACCAGTTACTAAAGAAAGATAAACCCTATCTGTGAACAGAAAAACATCAACAAGTCTTTGATACTCTCAAAAATTATCTTATTTTAGACCTTGTCTTACAACATTCTGACTTTAATCAACCTTTTTATCTGCATACCAATGCTTCAACCTCAGAATTAGGAGCAGTTCTATCTTAACTAAATAATGATCACAAGGAATAAGTTATTGCTTATGCTAGTAGAAATTTAAATAATGCTGAACAAAACTATCCTACTACTAACTTAGAATGTTTAGCTATTATATAGACTATTAAACACTTTTACTAATATTTAAAAGCTAAACATTTCTTTCTTATTACTGACTATTCTGCCTTGCAATAGTTAAGAACTTCCAACCTTAAAGGAAGAAAAGCCAGATGGGTTATAAAACTATAACCTTATAACTTTACTATAATCCATTATCCTGGAAGAAAGCATAACAATGCTGATGCTTTATCAAGAATGTATAAACAAAAAGCCAACATAATTTTAACAGAAAATGAAGATGAATTCCCTTTTGAAACTGAAGCTCTCAAAATCACTATACAAAGAAGATTAGCAAGAATAGAATCTCCTTTGTACCAGAACTAACAACTTAAACAATTAACTACTAAACTTTCCTCCTATTGCAGAACATGATATCAAACTTTATATCAAACTTGAAGTATCTTCTTAGTTGTCTAAGATTAGTAGGTTATAGGAAATTTTTAATTTTGTCTATCAGTCTTTCATCTATTTTAATTACATCTTTTCTAATGATATGTTCTAAAAACTTGATGTTATTTAGAAAGAAATAATATTTTGCTAAGTTTAATTTTAGGTTGGCTTCTTTGAGAACATTCATAACTTGTTGAACATGATCCAAATGTTCTTGAAAGGTTTTGAAATAAATAGTAATATCATCTAGATATACTACCACAAATTTGTTGATAAAGAGATGAAGTATTTTATTCATTAATCTTTGGAAAGTTGCAGGTGCATTGGTAAGTCCAAAAGGCATAACATTGAACTCATAAGTTCTCTATTTTGTAATGAAGGCAGTTTTCTTTTTATTTTCTTTCTTCATAGTAATTTGCCAATATCCACTGGCTAAATCTAAACTAGTGAACTATGAGGCTCTATTGAATGAGTTTAAGATTTCCTAAATAGTTAGTAGTAGGTATACATCTTTTTTAGTAATAGCATTAAGTTTTCTATAATTAATGCAAAGTCTCTTTTAGCTATTCTTTTTTGGCACAAGTACAACAGAAGAATTCCAGGGTCCAAAAGATTCTCTAATAATTTTTTTTCTAATATTGCTTGAATTTCTTTTTGCAATAAGTCTTGTTCATCAGAAGGGTATTAATAAGCTCTTTGTTTAATAGGGTTGTAGCTATTTGTGTTAATTTCATGACAAATAACATTAGTTTGTTCTAATTTTTTAGGCTGTCCATCTTCTAAGATATTTTCTGAAAAAATATCAATATTTTTCATTAAGAGTTGTTTAGCTTAAACATGTTGGTCTTTGGTAAGTTCTAGATTTATATTTAGATTTGGGTTTTTCACAGAATAGATCTTTTTTTCTAACAGTTGAGTTAGGTAAAAGGTAGAATTAGCTTCTATTTTTGACCAGAGATTGTAATATATTTTATCAATTACAGAATGCCATTCTTCTAAATAGTAGGTTTCCATTTCTTCTTCTTCATCTATCTTATTGATCTATTAATTTTCTTTATTCTCATCTACTTTTTCTAAAATAAGATAAGAGTTGGTAGTATAAATAGCATTGGTAGTAGCTTTTTTTTTCTAAATATAGAATTTTTAAAATATTGTTTTTAAAGTCCAATTTAGCTCTTAACTTGTTAAACCAATCTGTTCCCAGGAGAAGAGTTTTATTCATAGATTCTATTACTTAGAGGTTAATAGGAATAATAATATTCTGGATAGTAATCTTTACATCAAGGATAATTCTTAAAGCTTTGGTACAATTTTTATTAATAGTAACCACAATAGTTTTGGAAGGTTTCTGGATTTGGAGTTCTAATTTTCTCATGAGCTTGGCTGTAATTATGCTTACAGCTGCTTTAGAATCAAGAATAGCAACAATAGGATTTTCTTTAATTTGAATATAACATCTCATTGCTGTTGTCTTTTTGGGGTAATCAGTTTCAGCTTGGTTTGCTTCAGTAATAGGTTCCTTTTTCTTTTGCAAAATTTTTGCAAGCTTTTTATGCTGAGCAAAGAATTGTAACTATTGTCCAATAGTGGCAGAGGACTTTATGTTTAGGATGTCAGTAGAGACATCATAGGGTTTAATTTGTTCGATTACAGAAGAGTAAGTTTTGAATTTGGTTTTGGTTTAGTTTTTTTTGTAATAGAGACTTCAATAGGAATTTCTACAGGAATTTTATCTATTTGAGTATTAGGTTTATCTGACATGACAGTTCTGTTTCTAAGTTTAAATTCTCTTTAAAATTCAGAATTTTTGTTTAAAAACTTGGTCTGTTTTCTGTTAGTAGAATAGGGTTAATTTCTTGGTATTCTGGTAATGTATACTTCATCAACATCATCATCCTCTATTCCAATATAGTTAATATTTTTTCTTCTATTATCCTGAGTCATTTGCTTATATTGATTTATAATAGGTTGTTTTTTAGCTAGACAATCTTAAGTATAGTGTCTCTTTTCTTCACAATTGTAACAGGTAATCAAAGATCTCTGGTACTGTTTTCTAGATTGAAATTGGTTTCTAGTTTGATATTAGGTTCTGGGTTGGAATTTTTGTTGAAATTTAGATGTAGGTTCAGTAAGTGCCAATGCAATAGTTGCATAATTAAGAGTCATTTGTTGTATTTGTTTGGTTAGGTTATCAATTCTTTTTTCAAACTTCTGTTAGCAGCAGCTAAACTAGGTTTACTTTGAATAGCAAAATTTTTTTCTTGTTCAAATCTTTTTGCAAATCCTAAAGCATCAGCTATATTGTTAGAATTATATATAAGGATAACAGGAAGGGTTTTTAGACAAAGTCTCTTATTAAAGTGATATAACTTTTGAGCATCAGTTAGATTGTTAGTGGTTATTAAAGTGATATAACTTTTGGGCATCAATTAGATTGTTATTGGTTTGTACTTGTTAGATAATTCTTTTGTATCAGCTATAGTAGGTTTCAACTGGTTTATTAGGAAGTTGTTTTAATTTATCTAGATTTCTAATCCATTTGTTTTTTTAGCATTGATTACAAAATTGTACAATGAAAGCAGCTTTTGTAGCAGTCCAATTATCTTCTGTATTAACTTCAGCAATATTTGCAATATAGTAAGCTTGTTGCCATTCATCAGCATTTCTTTTAAAAAAAGCTAATATGATTTTTCTCTGTTTGGCAAGACTCCAGCTATTAGCAGTTGAAGCTTTTTCAAAGTTAGCAATCTAGGCTAAAGAATCCTAGGTTCTATCTTCATAGAAAGGTTCAATATGAACAACATTTCTACTTTTTTCATTTTCTTTTAGATACTTAAAAATATTAACTGCAGTGACCATGATATTTTGAATTTGTTAGTTAGATAAGGGGTTAGATATGTGTTGTTGGGGACTAAAAGGTATTTCAAAGAAGTTACTATAATTTTCAAAATTAAGATGGTAGGGGGATTCTAAATCTTCTTCTCTTAATATAAAAGAGTTTTTTTGATAACAGTTAGTATAGACAGCTAAAGATGTTATATTTTTAATAATATCAATATTATTTCTAGAAGAACTAGAATATCTAAAACTAAAAATAAGATTGAAGATAGTGTTCTTTAATTGAGATAGGTTGAGTTGGATGTATATTTGTTTAATCTGATTAAAATATTCTATAGATTTGGCAGAAAAATCACAGATGGAATATTGTCTAATTTATCAGAAATAAAAGTTTTATAAATCAATAGATACAGTTGTAGTTACAGAGTAACAAATTTCACAAGAATTGTCTGGTTTAGTGATAGGTAGCTGAGTGGTATATTTTTGGGTATATATAAATACTTTTAATAAGTATCTTTCAAAATTGAATTGCATGTACAATTAATTTAGAAACTGTTTGTCACAATGCAAACACTTATGCTTTTATTTATTCAAATGTATGAACTAGTGAAATGCATTTGTAAATGGACAAGCAAGATAGGTATATCAAAGATCATATGACTAGGCCTGCTTTTATTGATTTGTGTCCAATCATGTGAATTCATGTAACTTTACAAGCATGAACAAAACAGAGGTTCTATATATATATTTCCACCTGCTATGCCCTTTTCTACTCAGGCCGTTTTGTTTACTGATTGCATATATGTATCTATCTATTTATCTTAGTATTATTTATTTATTTATTATTATTATTATTATTTTTTTTTTTTTTGACTATATATCATGGAGCAGGTGGGTGGGATTATGATCTTTGATATACCTACCTCGCTTGTCCATTTACAAATGCATTTTACTAGTTCATACATTTGAGTAAATGAACTCCACTCGGTAAGTATATCTCAGATCATATGACTACTGCAGATTAACTGATTCATGGCTTTCTCTATTTGTGATAGCTAAAATGCCTTGTATAACCTGATTCTTTTGTAACATAATCATGACCCCTCGCTAGTAAAATTGTTGATATATGCTGTGGCTTGACCAATTTCCTATTGCCAATATGGTTGAAAGGTCAGCCCCCGAACTTTGAGCATAGAATGCTGCCAGCGACCTAGCATCTTTTACCTTTAAGTCAGGTGATGCTTCACACAATATGTTCTTAATCCATTTAGCCACCATATCAGATGCTGGGGAGTTGTGATAACCTGTTAAAGTTAGTAGTAAGCTGGTCTTCTGCTCATATGAGATGCATCAGTTTTGGGTTTGCATCAAAAGGGCATTGACAGCAGCTAGTGGTGATATTTCTGGTAATTCCAAGTAGTGCCCAACATAAATCTTCTTCGATGCTGGTTTGTTACCCCCATGGAAAAGTGATATTTTGTGCTCTTTTGGGCTTTTAATGCTAAACATAGCCCCATGAGCTGTGAGCACCATGGATGATGCATCAATTCTAGTTAAGTCTGAAGGCCTACTTGACATGGTAATTGCCAACAAGAAGGAAACCTTCCTTAACAATGATAAAATGTTCATGAAATTGTTGTCTCCAAAGGATCACACTTTGTCAAAGGCTGGAACCAAATTGACTATTTCATTATCAGTTGGTGGAGGTGGGTTTTTATTGTATACTCACCTCATTGTTTTAACAATGATAGGGTGTGAGCCTATAGGTGTGTTGTTCACTCAGTCATGAATCTCACTTATTGCCGATCTGTATCCAGCAATGGTATTGTATTCTCTATCAGCTTCTATTTGGTCATTGAAAAACTCAATAATGTTATTCAAAGAACAAGTAATGGGATCAGCTTTCTGTTCAATGCACCAAGATATCCATTTTTTAATGTTTGATGATATAGTTCTTGTAGATCCTTTGTCATATGCTGCTTCATACAACCTGATAGCCTTCTCTGAAAGGCCCTGGTTCGCCAGGCGATCCCTGATATACATGCTATGCAAAGCTCCCATTTGTGTATCCGCTGATACTGGTTGTAATCTTCTACTGGAACTATTGGGTTGTTCAGCAATTTTCGAAGTATGTCATCCAACAGAGATAGGAGAACTGGGAACCAAGGGGCTAATGGCCATCGTGGAAATACTATCACTATTGTAAGTTTTTCTCTTATTACTTTGTTCAATACTCTGGGCAGTAGTATCCATGGAGGATTGGCCCAAATCCTCTAGCCCCTTCATGGAACATGCAGAGCATTCGTCGCTACTGCCTTCGGATCAGGTTTCCACGATATGTATGCTGGGGTCATATAATTCTTGTAGTTGACGAATGCATCCAGATCCATTGGTCCCCAAATTTGCTGAATTTGGTTGAATACTGCCTTGTTGATCATCCAGTCATGACGGTCTAGTTTCATGCATGAAGCCTGATCTGCTGTAACATTCCACCGGCCTGGTATGTATTCTGCTATTAATCTTACATGTCTGCACAGACAAGTTGTCCAAATTTCTTCGATCAGTAAACTCAATGCTGGTGATACTGTTTCTCCCTGCTTGTTGATGTATGCTACTGTGGTCATATTGTCGCTTCACACCAGAACTGTCTGATTCCTGATATGTTCCCATTTCTCTAGTGCTTTCTTTACTGCCATTAATTTTAACCGATTTATGTGGTCTCGAGCCAGCTGGTCTTCCTATCATCCAAAGGCTATTTGTCTTTTCCATACTATGCCTCATCCCAACCTGGAGGCATCGGTATAAATGATTATAGAAGTGTGTTCTGTATTACTTTTCGTCTGTTCCAGTCTGCCAGGTTCTTTATCTACATATCTAATTGGTACTTGCATTCTCTTGAAAGTCATACTAGTCCATTTCATCCCTGCCGTTTTATCACCAAGTTCTTGTCCCTGAGCAGGGCTCTCAAAAACAGCCTTGCTGGAAAGATTGCTTCTGTGGTTGCATTTAACTTGCCTAATAGGGCTGCTAATTTTCGTACATGAATTACCTTAATCATGCTCACTTTCTGGCATTCTCTCAGGATGTCCTTTACCTTTCTTTGTGGTATCGTGAATGTCATCTCTACTGAGTTTATGCTGAAGCCTAAAAACTCCATTGTTTTTGATGGGTCTAATTGTGATTTCCTCTTGTTTATTATGAACTCCAGGTATTCTAGTCTCCCACAAACCTTTTGGATATGCTCGAGTACTTGTTTTCTTGACTTGGCCATTATTAAGATGTTGTCTAAGTAGACGATCAATATGATGCCCTGGGCTCTCAACGTTTCTATTACTGGTTTTAGTATCTTTGTGAATATCAGAGGACTTGTCATTAGCCCAAAAGGCAATGCTGTAAATGCATAGCGTGTATTGTGGAAATCGAAAGCGAAATAAAGCTGTGAACCATATGCGAGCAGCACATGATGAAATGCATTTTTTATATTTATATGCATTATGAAGTCTCCCGGCTTTATTAAAGATTTTACCAAGTGAGTACCTTTCATTTTGAAATGTTTGTGTGCTACAAAAGAATTCAGTTCCCTGAGGTCTATTACTGGATGTGATTCACCGTTCGCTTTGGTATCAAAAAGAGCTTTGAAATGAAGCAAGTTACATCCAGAAGAATTTCTATAATCGTTCTTTGTGCTATAAGCTTCCTTACCTCTGCATCTAATTTTGTTCGATCCTGAGGAGACATATTTTGTTGAATCAGGTCTTGTTGTTTCAGTAGAGGTGGTTCTATCCAGACTGGTTCGTAACCTGTTTTATTATTCTTGATGCCCATGATTCTCCAATTACTTCTACCCACCTTGTATAGAACAGACTCAGTCGTGCCCCTATCTTTTCTACTGGTGTGACTGTGTTGAAGAATCGCTCTGATGAAAATTTGCATTTCTGTTCCAATTTGTTTGTGCACATGACCAGTTACTTGACCCCATGTGTTGATAGCCCTTACCCCTATTACCTGGCCTTGGTTGGAAGCCTCATCCTCTATAACTAGCTTGCAGGTTTTGTGCACATTTCTTTTGCCATAGTGCATCATTAAAAAACTTTGTTTTCTTATTCTCTGTTCTAATAACCTCCATGAGTTTGTCTGCGAATAGAGTTTCTACTTCTGTTTTTGTCTGGTGATCTGGATTAATGCATTTAATGGCCTGTTCCTGTCTCTGCTCACTGATGTATGATAATGAGTCCAATAGTAAAGAACACATTGATAACAATGAAAGTTCCATATATTCCCAAGCCTCAAGTGCTTGCTTGTTTTCAGAGTTAGGCTTGGTCTGATACAACATCTTGATTGCACAATCAAGTGGTCTGAGAGAAGAGGAGGTTTGGTAGGACACTCTTTGTAATATTTTATCAGTGTCTTTTGACTCTTTTTGCATCCTTTTGAGTAACTCCTTATCCATAGGTGGTGGTGTAAACTTGATAAATGTATTTCTTGGAAAGGTTTGTAGTAATCTCTGTCTAGTATCTGTGGGTAACTTGTTGTCCTTGTAAATTCGTGTTGGGAGTTTTTCTATCTCTCCCGTAGGCATAAATGTGGTACTATCATCATTTGTAAAATCACGTTCCTCATCTGAAGCTTGAGAATCTTCTTCATATTCCAAATTCTGTCGTGTTGATCGATTTATCATTTCATGTTCAGACATAAATTTGAGTTATCTTATAACTGCTTTGGGTGTTCTAAAGCTGTGAACTGCAAACTAAAAGAAAACAGCCTGGGTAGGAAAGAGTATAGCAGGTGGAAATATATATATAGAACCTCTGTTTTGTTCATGCTTGTAAAGTTACATGAATCCACATGATTGGATGCAAACCAATAAAAGCAGGCCTAGTCATATGATCTGAGATATACTTACCGAGCAGAGTTCATTTCTAAATTTCAATATTCAGAAATTAGTGAATATATCTTAAAATTACTATGACAATAGGCTTTGTCACTTAAGAGAAAGTTGTAAAAGAAGTCCTTCCAGTCCTAAAGAAGATCATAATGCTAAAATTGGTCTAGTGGCTGTTAAGATATTGACATATGAAGTTGTTATAATAATAGTTGAAATGTTTCTCCAAGAGGAATTTCTTACAAATTCTTTGTAGATCAAAAATATTGTTACTACTTTGATGTTGAATAACAGGTTTCGGAAGGATTTTCTTACTAATATATGCTTAGTAAAAAAGATATATTAGGTTTTTAGATATATACTCTTTTAATTTCAGGTTATATGAACCAATATTGACAGAGTTTCCTTAAGACTAACTAAAATCAATTATCTATGATAAATTAAGAACTTATCTTACAGTCATCACCAAAATATTAACTTGTAGTTTTTTCTTTAATCATAACAATAACAGAAGTTGCTTAACTATAGTATAATGACTATAACTTGACAAGTTCTATACAAAGTCTACACAAAACTTTAACAAAATACAGAGTGATTTAGGATTTTAAGGCAGAGGTAACAATAAATAGTATATAAAAATACTAAATATTGAATTCAGTTTATTAATTATGAAATGTATGAAGACACTTAACTTTCTTGAAGAGTCAGAAAGTAGTACTTTTATAGATATTTTACATATATAAATAATTATAATAAAGACTACTCTATTGCTAATAAATATTATTTATTTATTTTATTTTTTTTTATTATAGACAGTTATGCTAGTACTTTATTAAGATTCTTGCAATTGCTACAATTACATAGATCTACCTAACAACTAAGTC